CCTGCACTATCCTCACAGTTCCATGCCTGATCCCATTGTCACAGCCATGGTGTCAATCCATGGCTAAAAGGGCTATGTTAATTGAGTACAACTCAATATTGCATCGGGAAAATCTGCTGTAATGACATCTTCATCGTTTTCAAAAATAAAAGTCCCATTGAGGACTGAGGTCTCTTGACCAAAGGCATTCTTTTCCATCACCTTCTATATGTGTGCAAGCTGGACAATGAATGACGAAGAGGGAAGAAGTGATGTGTTTGGATTACGTTATTGGCAAGAACCCCCAAACCAAATGCATTGCCGTCTTCGAGGGTAGAGCGGCCTTTGTGAGTTTCTGAGACTGTAACTCTAAGGGCGTAGGACTTTCTGTCTTTCTAGGCCTTTCTGTCTTTCTGCCATGGAGTGGTTTGGTGGTTTCAAACTGCTGATCTTTCAATGAGCAGTCCAAGTCATCACCACCGCACTTGTAATCGGCAAAGAATATTGAATACATCATCGGCTGGCAGAAGAATGAACACGTTTTTCTTGGCAGAATTATGCTCTATAAACACTAGGGCAGTGAAGGTTCTTTTCAGGACTTTGGACAGGCTAGCATGGGGGACCCGTGCCTGGAGAAGGACAACATGCTTGGGAAAGTGAAGTGTCAAAAACAAAAAAGAGGAAGACCCTCTACAAGATGGATTGACATGGCGGCTGCAACAAGGGGCTCGAAGAGAGCACAATTCTGAGGTGCAGGACAGGGCACTGTTCTGTTCTGTCGTGTACAGGATCACTCTGAGTTAGAACAGCCTGCGTAGCACCTGACACCAGCCACGGCCATTGCTAGTTGCTGTTCTAGCCTTTGGTGGTAGTTGCGTTCAAGTTGATTCTGACCCATGGTGACCACGTGTGTGCAAAGTAGAACGGCTCCATAGGGTTTTCATGGCTGTGGTCTTTCAGGAACTGACCAACAGGCCTGCCTTTCTAGGTACTCCTGGCCAGGCTTGAACTGGCAACCTTTTGGCTGGTAGTCAAGCACTTAACTGTTTAATGCCACTTTGTTGTTGGGTGCTCTTCAGTGAAGAGCCTCTCAAAAAGAAGGGCAGCAATTCATAGCAGCCCTGCAGGGCACATTAGAACCGTACCATGGGATTTCCAAGGCTGTACATCTTTCTAGAAGCAGACTGCTACATCTTCCTCCAGCAGAAGGGCTGGTGAGCTCAGGCTTTAGTTAGCAGTAGAGCGCTTTAACCATGTTGCCACCTGGGGTCTGCACCACATTATTACTTGCTTGATATGCAACAGAGTAAATCCTGTACCCCAAATGGAGATAATGCTTTGTTTATATTTGCCTTATAAACATTATTTTATAAGATTCTAACTCCCAAATTGTGTTAGTGATCGCTGTTTGTAATCATATGAGCTGTCACCCCAATATGCCTACAGGACAAGTAAAGTGACAAAGTAAAGGGAAGCATTGAATAATAATTTTAGAATCCGTTTAGATGTTAGATTAAATTCCATCTCCTTTGTTTGGTAAATAGACAATTAAACTCCTCATCAACTAAACTACCCATAACCACAACTCTTAAAGGAGAGAAACTTGGCCCGCTGTGCTGTTCACTGCCCGTTCGGTGATATTTTCAGGGGCACATCGTCATTTGAGCACGGCCTTTCTGAAGTTACAAATAGCAGCACTCTGCTATCATTTTCAGAAATACCACCTCTGTAAGCTGGAGAATTAAATTGCTACTTTAATCTAATAACTGCTATAATCCCAAAGAGAGAATGTCAGGAAATACCACTCAGATTAAGTGTTTGGAGGAATGTGCGCACATTGTGGCCACTGAGAAGAAAAGAGGAGCAGTAGAGACACTTTGAGTCACACAGCTACGTGCTAACAAATACCACTCCACAATGTTCATAACTTCACCAGGCCCAATTTTCTTAGGTAATCAGGTATTACCCCGAGATGAGGAGAAATGGGTCTCTTCCAACTTTTATTTCCTGGAAACCTTCTGTCCATCGGGCTCACAAAGGGACATGGAATCAATATTCTACCTGTTTCTATAAAGTTGACTGTCAGTTATGTTTTCTACTAGCTGAGTCTTAGTGTTTGGACACGAACCCAGAGGCAGCCCCGATATTCACCAGGAGGGTCTATAGATGGAAAAGCCTTGTTCCTATTTGAATCTTCTGCTACTGCTACTGCTAGGCCCACTCCTGTGTTGTTTGTTTGTTTTCTCCATGTTTGCATGGAAAAGTCTTTATTTTACAGAGCTGTACCATTGAAGGGCCAATTCCAAAAAGTCCCCAAACTGTTTGATAAGTAGATGGCCGTCTTCATTCGACAGGGTCTATTGAGCAACATTCTATGGAGCGTAATGTCTTTAATGATACATATGTCATCACAAATATCAATCACTGAGAAAGCTGTAATTGAGCACTTTAATACTTTAATACTTTGAGCCATTATAATATATACTGAGGTAATATACACTTGCAGATAGAAGTACGTGAAGTGTGGTAGGTAAGAAAGAAATGTCTTTTTAAAAAAAAACTATTTAATTGTATTCAGTGAAACAGAGTATAGTAACATGCTTTAAAAGTTGAACTTCAAAAGAGCAAACCAAAATTGAACTTCAAAAGAACAAACCAATCTCTGTATAGTTTCTTCTGTTCTGACGGATGAAGGGTAGCCATAAGTCTCCACCTTCTCCATCAAAGTGTAAAAAGAAAATGTACCTAGCAGCGTGTCTAGCAACACGAGTCACTTGTACTTAGGTCGAAATTATGTATGAAAAGGCATCTGTGCCCTTGTGTGTTTTCTTCACGGGAAACACTCACCCTCCCAAACCACGGATCAAGAAAGCCTTGCCCATGTGGCTAAACTTAGCATTATGGGTTAGAGCTCACAAAGAAAGAGTGGCTGCATGTTGTTTTTTTAACTCCATGCTTCTCCTGCCTTTCGATAACTGCCATTCCTTTAGCCTGGTGACGGGGTGCATGGAAGAACACCACAGCTACGAGAAGGGTAACCATTCCTGAGGACAGGGATACTGACCGGGCCAAACAATGAGTCTTTATGCTGTGTTTGATTCAGGTATGAACCAGAAACCCTCATCGATCTTAAACTAATGTACAGATTAGAGAATGGAATCTGACTCTCAGAATTGCTACTTTAGATGCTTCAGGGTTTTTTTTAAGTTTCTCTTGATGAAAAATACTTGAGAATTTCCCAATGAGCATCTAAACCTAACTCCTCACTTCTTTTTTTCCCCTTTGCAACTCAATCATTTCTGAAAGAACTTTAAGATGGTGAAATATAAAACTCCCAAGACTATACCACACACATACACCCACACACTTACATGATTAATGGCATCACCGGAAGTCCAGTGCAATCTAGGACCTCTGGTGGCACACTGGGCTAAGCATTGAACTGCTAATGGTAAGACTAGAGGTTTAAACCAATCTGTCACTGCAATAGAGAAAGATGAGGAGGAAAGATTGAAAATCTTGGCAACCCAAAGGGGCTTAAAGGGCTACTGTTAGATGGAATTGACTCAACGGCAGTGGGTGATTTTGGAAATGCAAATCGACTTCCTTTTTCTATCGTTTATGCAAATCTTCTCACACCCAGGACCCTGTCAATACCAACCAAAAAAAGAAGACGAAAGAGCCTACTATCTTTAACAATATCTCCAAATATGTTATTTGCAATACTCGTAATGTATGAGGTCTATGCTGACCCACAGAAACAGTCATATAGACTATATTGTGCTTTCTAATATTGTCCCATAGGGATCAATACGGTGCCCTGGTGATCCTGTGGATTAGCTGTTGGCCTGCTAATGGAAAGTTCGGTGGTTGAAACTTCCCGCTTGCTCTGCGACAGAAAAGGCAGTCTGCTCCTGGGGAGATTAACAGTCGGGGAAATCCTATGTAGGGTCAACATTAGTCTGAAGTGTCTCAATAGTCATGTGGTTGTTGTTGTTTTTTTAATGTATAGGGATCAATATGCTGTCTTATTGTACATCTATTTGTTTAAACATGTCATTGTCATGGAAAAGTTCTAATTTCCCCTACCTCCTACCACAAAAACACACAAACAATTACCACCAGTCCCTATCCCCCAGCAAACACACAACTTGATAGTAGTTAGTATAATACTAAAGTAAGGGAAATGTTGTACTTACTAGGCTCCCTTGAAATATGATTCAAAAGGGAATATGGCATTTTTATTTGCGATATCAACAGAACGAACCTAAACAGGTCCAGCAAATGGTAAATATTGGTCTTTTATCTACACAGTCAAAAAATTAGTATTGTGAGCCTAGACTTAAAGATTTCACCACAATGATTGTTAATTCCCTTAGTGATGCTCTTTGAAAAATCATAACTCGAGATAAATGTCCTAGTAAATAATTTTATTTATGGAGAAATTTCCAAAATTTCTCATTATCTTGGAATTATTCACAAAGTACTATTTTGTGCTTAGTTCAAAATGATGCATCTCTTATTAAACAAAGATAAAAATATATAGCATAAGGCAGTATTATTATGTTTTTATTTAATTAATATAACCAAAGGATTAAAGAAAAAAGTAAAAGTTAAATATATTTAAAGGCCACATAACTGATTCCTAGATAGTCTTATGTTTTGAATAAGAAAATGAATATATAAGTACCCAATATAATATTTTAGAGTAATATTTTAAAATATATAAGTTAATCATTGCAACAAGCTACCTTCAATTGAATTGCTTCCTATCAGAAACAATACTTTTGAAACTATGTCCCTAAAACAAATAAAAACAGAAAGAAATAAACAAAAGTAGCAATGGCAATAACTTTTCCATTAAATACACTTTCTTATAAAGTGGCAAGATAAATTTACAAATTTACAACTTAAAGGGAATCTTTATTAAAAAGATTTGTCTTGCTTTGGGTTTTTGGGACCTCTGTTCTCCTCATGTAACTGGCCCTCCCAGCAGAATCAACCCAGAGTTGATGTTTAGTTCATAGCACATGATAGATGAGCCTGGAGCTCGAGGTCCCTGGGGTGGCAGGCTGTGAATCGATGCTGGCCACTGGGGAGAGAGAGGCAGGGTCCTGGAGAGGCAAGCCAGGTTGCTGCTCTGTGGAGGTGATCCGATCCACTATGCTGGATAAGCAATCCAAGCTGGATAAAGAGTTTTTGTCTGTGGAGAATACTAAGGATGGAAGTAGAAAAGCATTAAATACCACATATCTCCAGATAGATAGAATTGTTTACATTACCCTTTCAACTATAGGTCAACTCCTTTGACACCAACAAGCCAGATGGTTACAGAAGCCTGCTGTCTAAATTTGCTGCAAATATCTGCAGCTCATGGGGAAGGTCGAGGAGCTAAGTCTACTGGTAATATTTCAGGCAAAAATGCATGCACACATGTGTGTGCACATGTGAAATTTAGAGCAGAAAGTGTGTATGTATTTTGCTTAGCCAAAGCCTCTGCATCCGAACCATGACTTCTATTTCTGTTCTCAGCTCTGTCTGGAAGAACAGACCTGCTTCGAGAGGCTGAATTGTGAGGCTGAAATGGCCTTTAAACTGCTCTGCAGTTGTCAAGTCTTACCATTTGGTACATCAGGGGAGTAGACGCTGTCGAAACTGCTGCTCTTTCTGGACCAGACTGGGCTGTTACATTCAGGCTACAAAATACAACAGATGTTTATTTTAAGGCTTTGGCCAGAGATGCTCTGACCTAGGGGGAGGCAGCGCTTGCTCAACTAGCTCTGTGCATCGACCACTCTCAATCAGCTTCATGGCTCTGATTTAGGTAGGGTTAGCCCTCCCCACATTGCCAGGGCATTGAGGTTAATCTCTGCGCTTGGAGAAAAGGAGAGAGACCCGGCAGCACAGAGGAGAGGGGGGTGGAACACGACAGCAATGTACATTGGGTTGACCATGCAAAATGGATTGGCGTAGAAGGAAGCCACACTAATTCAAAGAGAGAACCCTTTCCCAGGGCAAAAACACATTAAAACCTGGCAGCCACCGAGCAGACGCCCTCCAAAAAGAATGCATCGTGATCTTCCAGCTACGCTTCTGCAGCACAGCAACTAGAGAGATGTTCCGGGGGGTTTCCTTCTGAATTTTCAGTTAAGTTATAAACTGTGGGACAATGGGAGGCTCTGGCTGTTGCCTTTGGATGCTAGTGTATGTCAGAGACCGCTGGTATTATGTCATGCAAATAAACTACAGGTAAGTAATGGAGAAATCACCGGATTGATCATTCACAGCCAGCTACCTGCCATACCAAACCTCTACACCCTATCGGGCGTCAGACTAATATCCTGCCCAGCCGCTGCCTAGCATCCTTCTAAACCTAGATATGATGCCCCTCCCACCCCCAACAATCCTCCAGGGATCACTGAAACTATTGCCTAGTTTTAATCGTATAAGGGATTTTACAAAATGCTCGGGGTGGCCAAGTGGGCACCAGAGGTACCTCTTACCATGCCATCAGAGCAGTTGGAGGTGGGGCTGGTGGGCTCAGAGCAGCTCTGTCCCGGGAGGCTGTAGTAGTTTTCCACCTGCTCCCTCAGGAGCTCTTGCAAGCTCTCGATATAGCGGATGGCATTCCTGAGGATCTCCACCTTGGGCAGCCTCTGGTTGGGGTTGGTCGTGGTGCACCTCTTGAGCGTCTCAAAAGCCTGGTTCACCTTCTTCAGGCGCCTCCGCTCGCGCATGGTGGCTGCCTTCCTCCGATCCGTGGTAGTGGACTTTCTCTTGCACGCCTTGCATGCCCACATGAGGCAGTGGCCAGCCTGGTGGTGACCTGTAGGCGCTCGCACGTGCTCGTCTTCATCCGAGCCTTGCAACTCTGCTTTGTGCCCACCGAAGGCAGCCCCTCTGGGCTCGAACTCCTCTCGGAAATCGCCCTCGGGGGATGGGATACAGGAGCCGTCGTAGAAGTACTCGGAAGGGGAGAACTGACAGCTGTCCATCACGTCCATCCTCTGGCGGAAAGGCAGGCAGCGCACCTGGACAGCGGAGACAGAGATGGGGGAGAATTGGGAGCTTGGTGCCGCAGCTGGAGGGCAAACCCTGCAGGAGCTCCCAGGTCGGTTGGTTTCTCGGGTGATAACAAGGGCAGAAGCTTGGCGGCCTGGATAGCCGCTCTGGGCTTGGGGCTCCTTATATGTTCTTGGGGGAGGGAGGCCGGCCCCAGTGGCCCTGATCTATTAGCATATCCCACCACAACCCCCGCAGGGGCTGTCTGGGCAAACCTCCGCCTTTTCTCCAGAGACAATTTGCTGTTTACTGCCCCTTTTGACACTAATGGCTTTATTGCGGTTCTACTTGGGGGCAGGGGTGGGTGTTGGTCCCCAACCAGCTTCCTAGCACTTTCTGGATAACTTAAACCCATAAAGATGGAAGAAAGTTCAACTTTTAATGAATCCTTACACCTTACAAAAGTGATCAATAAACAGAACTCCGTACATTCCACTGACACCATCCACTGACCACATTTCTTCCTGGTTCTAGACAGGGGGATTCTTCTTAGGATTTAGGTGTGTTTTTTGTTTGTCTGTTTTTTTCCTTCCCCCACAAACTTTAGTTTTCACAGGAAGTTTTTGAACCCATAGAAGGGAGAACACTTGCTAATAAGGTGTAGTGATCCCTCCACTCTGGAGCGAACGCAGCGGTGTTTTGTGTTGTGCTTGTGTGTGTGAGCGCTTATGGCTTTTGTCTGGATTGAGGCAAAGGAAATTGTGATTGGCTGTCATTGTCTGGATTCAGAGTGATTTGGAGTGTGGGAAAGAGGTTCCTCTTCCCAAGATAGAACTCACTTGGAATTCTTCTAAAAGGAGGGGAACACAGGAAGGCTAGGTGACTGGGAACATTCCTCTCTCCTTTATTTCCTTCCTTTCCCCTTCTAAAGATAATACGGATGACCTCCTGCTTTGGACTAGGTCTCCCTAGATCCTTTATCCGCGAAGAACCACAGTGGTCCCCTAAACTTTGCAGCTACAATGGCCCAGGCTCAGATGGAAAACTCCCTTTGCAGGGGTGAGCCTCCTTTCTCTCTCTCTTTCTGCTCCGCCCTGTCGTTTCCACAGACTAAACAGCCGAGCTGGGCTTTGGGGTGGCTAATTTTCTGCTTTTAGGCAAACTAACACCGTTACAGATGCGTCCCAGCTGCCGCCACAGCAATCCCTCTTGACTGGAGTAAAATTTCCAACTCCAAGTAACTTCACACACATCTGCGACAAAAGTATTCTAGAAAAGTAATAGCAGGGCGCCTTTGAAACTTCAATGGGGAGACACTGAGAAGGGAGGGCTTTCATTAAAGTGATAATGAATCTATTCCTTAGCGTTTGCCAGTTCTCTGCCACCCTTAACCCATTTTCAGATCACTTTGGGAAGGATGGTTTATATTTAGGAAAAACAATTACTTGTCTCTACAAATAGGGGTGATTAGTCCAGAATTTTAGAGTGGGACTTAGCCGCCCCAGTAAAAAAAGAATGTTCCTAATCCCACCAATACCCATCCAGGCCAGTAAAGTGTCCTGACTCTAAAGTTAAGGCTGGTGATGGGGTGGCAGCAGTGGTGGTACAACAGTGGTGGTGGTGGCGATGGCCGGGTGGCAGGGCGGTGGGGGTGGGGTGGGGGGCTGGCCTGGGGATTCTTTCTATTATTTTACCGGAAAGTTATTTTGCTATGACAACCATAGCTGACTGATGCCACGCGTGTAGGAGCAGGAGATGTTCCTGCGTTCACGAAGTAAGATCGGTGTTCAGCATGGGGACTAGGAAAATCAGTGTGGGGTGTGAAACCGTGCAGTCACTAGGGTTTGCTGGTCGCCTGCCCTTCTCCCTGGTTCCCTCAAGCCCCAAGACAAAAGACCCTCCTTTTGAAAAAGCAAGCTCCCCAACGTCCAAATTTGCTGTTTAATCATCTGCCCAGTGAGGAATCCCTCTGCCCCTTACGGAGGCCTAGTAACAGAATGATGCCTTTGAAATGAAGACTATTCTCGGGGATAAACCAGTAAGAGGAGTTGAGGTCCTCAGGACCCAGGAGGCCTCCGTGCACACTGGTGGAAAGACTGGCACACCACGCGTTGCTACATGGGACATAGTATAGTCTACTCGCAGATGTTCTCAGACGTTCTCGACCAGCCTCGGAGCTGCAGCCGGTGAGCAGCACGGGGACCACTTGCTTGGGTTGTGGATGTCAGCAGAGGACGGCACAGCGACTACATTCGTGGACTCAGGATCTGGCTAGAAAGTTGGTCCTTTAGGTGTTGGCGAAAGATAGAGGTGGTGCTTCTGAATGTTATTTTTCTCCACCTCTCTTCTCTCCCACCCCCAAACCAGGCACTTTATGGTGCCCTTTATCTGGTTCTTTCAGCGTGGGTTTTGTAACTAACAATTACTGGAAGGTTGCCAGTTGTCAGACACGCTCTAAAGCGTTCCCCAAAGTTAGCTCTTGTAATACTCTCTCAACAGAGTCCCAATACGACTGGATTGGACCTATGAGTTGATTTACTTTAGGAAAAAATAACCATAGCACAGAGGGAGTCGATAATTTGCCCCAGATCACACAGGGTGAGAAAGTAGTTATCTAGTGTGAACAACTTGTGTTCCTGAAATTGGATTTTGCTGGGTTTTGTTTGTTTGTTTGTTTGTTTTCCTAGCTGTCCTGGGACCAGGGCAGAGACAAGCAGGAGCTGGGGGACCAGCTTCGCTGGGGGGTGGGGAGATGCTGTCATTCAGGATACCTTGTCAGTAATGGTAGCTCTCAGAGGTTAGGCCAGTCTTTGGTAAGGTGATCTCAAAACAAATTTACCAGAGCACCGGCACCAGTGGAACTAAAGCAGCCCAGAAAACACAAGTGCCCGGTGGCCGCAGCTTAATGGGACATGCTAGAGGGAAAATGGGGTCGGGGGCTTGAGGGCCCTTGGGACTCAAGTGCTGAAAATTGCTACCCAGTGCAACAAATTGTGTTGGGGGTGAGGGGGTAGGGGGTGAGGAAGAACTTAAAAAACAGCTTTTAGATTGTTTCATGAGATGAGAGGGGGGAGAGAGAGAGGGAGAGAGAGAGAGAAATATACTTAAATTTTTTATCCTAAATGAATAAAACCACTTTATCAAAAATGATCAAGGTCACTCCATTCAGGAGGAATCTGGGACTCTTCTCCCACACGAAACAGTGAAGACGGGAAAACACAAGACTAGCGATAGACAGAAAATTATTTTTTAATGAGGAAATTGAACAGTGAATGTGGAACAGAATTTTTTAATGCTTTAAAAAGCAGTTATCATAAAAATGTATCAATTTGTCCTTTGCCTCAAAATAAGAAATACATTATGCTTTCCATACTTTACTTAGAAAAGCCAACAAAGCCAACACTGGTAGCAGTACTGTTCCATTATTGACAAGGCACAGCACTCAGCCATGTCTGCTTTTGTAAGTAAATGGAATACTGGATAATTTATTTTAAAGTTATTTTTTTTAAGTTTTCATTTTCCACTCTGAAAAAAAAATAAATGCAGCATGTTTAACTGTCTTACAATATAGACATTTAAGTTGGTTTTAATTACAGAGATCTTTAAATTATGATTCATTTTTAAAAAACAGAACCTATTCTAGCTTAAGCGTTATGGCAATAATCCTAGTGTTGATGGATAGAGCCCACCATGAAAAGCATGCCTACCACTTCCTTCCTTAGTAAGCTGTATCCAAAAGCACTTTAAAAAACGCTTCAGGGTTCTCTTAGAGAGGGAAACTAAGGAAAGCTAGAAAGATAGCTCCATTGCAGCTCACTACCAGCATTTCTTTAGTTCTTCCTCTGCCATGACACTTCTTGAGATTTCTGCTTCTTATAGATAACTTCAGAATCTGTGAAACAATTTGAAAGTGCTATTAGCTCTGGGAGGCAGGCACACCTAAGTAAACACATTAGTACCTGCCAGAGCTGCTGGAAGAATTTGTGGAGAAGACAGCTGAGGAAGACATTGGCCTCTGCTTGGATTCGAAGACTCCCAAGGGAGATCAAAGGCCTGAGGAAGGACTTTCAGCAGCCTTGAGAGGAGAGGAAAGTAGCTAGTTCTTGGAGCATTATCTGTTTCTGCCCATGGCATAGCCATTCCATCCCAGAGACTGACTCTGAACTCAAGCTTGCCAAAACTTTGCTCTTAGTTTCCCCCACAGTGGAACTTTTAGGAATCAGCCCCTTCCTTTATAACACTTCCTTTGTACTGCCTAGCTGGACCTGTTGGGGACTGTCTGGATTTGGCTCTTTGAGGGAATCTTATTTTAACTACTAATTTATGAATGCATTAGTTAAGTGACAAGAGAGGTAGGCTTTGTGATGACGAAAGTGGCTAAAAGATAGCTAAGAGAAAATGCCCAAGCAGGTAAATTATTCTGGCTTTGAAATTAAAACATCGTAAGGATAAAAATGAGTTTAGCACCCAAGGATTGTCTACCCATCTCAAGTGTAGATGAGCACCCAGAATTTCTGTACCCTCTGACCCAAAGCATATGAGAATCAAAAACCAAAACAAAACATGAGGCCATTGGACAAAAGTAGATTTCCAGAATGTTAGGTTTGGAATTCAATGTGGGGATTAGAGTTATCTTGATAAAGCTGATGTTTGAAATTCCACACATTATTTTCATAGGAGTATAAAAAGAAAATCACTCATTATTTTATATTTAATTATTTCATACCTGCCTTTGCCAAGAGACTCAAATCAACCCAAACTGCTTATCTTTACCGACTTATTACTTCTTATTTTTTGCTTCCATTGTCCTGTTTGCTTTGATTTTGGCCTTGGTGAAGATTAGCATCATTAATAGCAAACAAAAACATGTTAATTGCAAACACACCACAGATTTCACTGGAAAGCCTACCATGTCAGCCAAAGCAGCAGAGGTCACTGAAGTCTTTGGGAAATATTTGCTCTATTTAATGAAGAGACTTCTTTAGGAAAATGTATTCTAAACAATTCCTCAAGTTACCCAGTTAAGAGAGATAGAGAAGAATTGATCTGCAAAAAAACAAATCAAATCTATCAGCAAGTAAAGACTATGGGTTCATTAAAGCCTTTTACTGCTGAAAAAAATTGTAATAGCATCTTATATTATAAACGTGTGTATGATAATAAAGTAAATGAATTCATTTTGTCAATCATGAAATTTAATGTAGACAAAATCTGATTTTTAAATATGGGTATGTGTGTGTATACACACCCTCACATATACATTTTAGGGAAAATCTATATCAAGTTTTAGGGAAAAAATCATAGATACAAAATCAGCATTATTAATGGGGATATGCACCACCCAAACATATCCACGTGTGACCTGGCTGGTTAACCGAAATGCTTTATTTTATTTTTTTAATAAAAATTTCTGCTGTGATATAGAGTTCACTAAGTACCCTCCCTAAGAAGCCTTGTTGGCACTGTAGGTTAATGGGGTTTGGTGGTTCAAATGCACCAACTGTTCTGTGGAAAAACAATGAAACTGTTTGTTCCCATGCATTTTTATAATCTCAGAAACCCTGACACTGTCACTCCACGGGAACAGGGTTGGGATTTTGTCTGGTTTAACCTGCCCCTTTAGAGTTGTTTGGAAACAATTCTCAGAGGATCCAAGTTACTCCACAAACCATAAAATGCTCCATTTTAATTACCCAAAGTTTTATTTTGAGGGTGCCTGGTGTTAGGAGACCTTGTAGGGCTGTCATGATGGCTAATCACAAGGTCTATGGTTCCAACCAGGTAGCTGCTCTTCAGGAAAAAGACGAGGCTACTTCATTTGGTCCTCTATCAGAAGCCCTATATGCACAGGTACAGATCTGCTGAGCCCAACGGTAGCTGGTATGGAGCTTGAAGACACAGACGGGGTCATTCGCTGCGGTTGCCTCCAAGAGTAGACTCCGTGCTTGTCCTGTCTGGCCCCTCTTGCTAACATCGCGGTTTCGACAGCGCAGACGTCAACTGGTAAGATGGGCTCATTCATGTGGCTGCTGCTCTCGTGGTTTTTAATACTTTCCCGAGCTAGAGCACACCAATTGGAAAATAGTTTCTGAAGGACTGTAGCTCTGGGTCCCTATGAGTCATTAACAAGGAGCTTGGTCAAAGAAGATGCACTTAGACTTGTTTTAAAAATAAATAAAGAGAGCTGACCTTAGTGTTTATGCTGTGCTCCCCTTTTTAGCTTAGCACTTTATATGTGTTGTCTCTGTGAATCTTCTTCACAGCCTCAGGAGTTAGGCGCTATTATTGTCCCTGTTGTTTGAAAAGAGAGGAAACAGGCATAAGAGAGAAGCAATGACTTGTCCCAGGCAACACGGTGGCAGCTGGATTCCTGCAGGGACTCAGTCCCACAGAGACTCAGCTCTTTGCTGTACTTCCACTGAAGTTCCACCTGCTTCTCTCAAATGTCAGATTCCCCTAAGACCTTTTTTTTTTTGGGGGGGGGGGTATTCTATAAGAAGCTCAAAGTATTCATCTACTTAGAAAACTGTTATCACCAGGAAGAGGTCTCCTTGCCTCAGGTGGACAGAGGGGCAATGTGCTCCTCCCTGTCCGCCCCAATGGCCCCTGTTTGAAACCACCCACTCCTCCACAGGAGAAGGATCGGACTCGCTGCACCTGCACACTGCCCCATTGGGTCATGAGGAGTGGCCATCAACTCCATGGCAGTGAGTTTGGGCCTGCATGTGGCATCAGTGATAAATGGTTTCTGGCACCTCTGAGGTGGTGAGGGCCAAGGGCCAGCGTTTGGAGAGTTAGGAATGTTGGTTGGGGGAGTGTTCTCATCTGTGACCTCTGGATGGTTGAGGGTAGGGTGTTAGGGGTGAAATCAAGGGGGAGGAGTGAGGCGGGAGTGAAAGTGTCATTTACAAAATAGAAGAGACCAGTAGCACTTAAAAAAGACCAAAAATGGCTTGCTCCTCTCCTGGCTTCACTCCCCACTGTGCTTCTTGGTGGTCGGTTCTTCCTGAGGTGACAGGATAAACAAACCTGGCACACGTTGTAAAATCCTCCCAAAGAGCAGCTCCCAGGGCTTGCAGCCTCTCTGGGGCTTTGCTGTTTGGCCCTGCTAAGAGGTTTCATGTATATTGTTGTTCTTCTGCCCTCCGCCATTTAACCCTTCCCTTGCTTGAAGAAACCCTTCAAAGAAGCCCTCCCACCTCAAGAGACAGATTGCCTGCTTCTTTTATCTTTCTATTTGGAAAACAAACACGGGTCACGTGACGTTTTGAGGACATGCCAGTCGTCCTGAGGCCAGTCTAAGGAGCCCTGGTGACATGGTGGTTCAAACGCATATTTCTCCATGGAAGAAATATGGAGCGTTCTGCTTCAGTAAAGATTTATAGCCCTGGAAACCAACTTTGAGGAGCAATTCTAATGTGCCCTATAGGGCTACTATGACATGCATAGTACAAGAAGATGGGGTGGGGGTGGGGGGGGAGTGAGGGGCAGAGGCTGGGAAGGTCAGAGATGGCTCTGGGTGCTCCAGGTAAAGGATCATCCTAGAAAGTCAAAAAGGAGAAGGAATTTGGGCAAAATCAATGGAAAATCATTTAGGAAAATAAACCAATGGGTTTCCCTGGCCATTTCTTGCACCGATGAAAGTGTACTGGATGAAACAATGGGCAGGTATCTAAGTATCACCCAGCTCTGCAGGTGTGGAAGACCTGAAACCAGAAAGGGGTCTTTTAAAGACACCGCCAAAGGATACCCCCATCCATGCCCTTTACCACTGCCCTCGGGGGGTTACCTAAGAGAAATGTCCACTTTCAGGCAAAGGGAAATCACTTACTTTTTCACTTTAAATTAGCCTTCCCGAACAATGAAAATATAGCTACTTATGGACACGTGGCCGCAAGCGTTTCTGCAGATGCTCATGTTGGAGTCTGTTCCGATTTTTCAAGGTGGGACAGTATAAATCAGGTTAAGACCAACTTTGTTCAAATATAAACATTTTTTAATATTACAATACCATGATCCTCACGCATTTTTATATACAATATGCCACTCCATGTTTAAAGCACGTCTCTTAGGTTTACTTAAAAAATGAAAGTAGTATTTCTTACAAAAATACATTAAATAACATTAACAGTTACCGCGTTCCCACTTTGCTGTAGACAGGAATGAATATCTCTGAAACATGGCACTGAAGGATCACCTTAATAAAAGTTAACGTGTTACAAAACCTTCCACTCAAAGAGGTCTAGACCTAAGCCACTAGCTGTTTTAAAAAAAAACAAACCCAAAAATGAAAGCCCCAAGCCGAAGGCCTTTCGACTGATAGTGCACAATAGTTTGACACATTTCATTTGTGACTCTGTCTCCTTCCTCAATACTAATGCAATGTGTCTAAAGGATTAGGAGAGGGAAGGTGGGCGGGATCTTCCTGCTGTGTGGACGAGGTCCCTGGCGTTGGCTTGAAGTGACTGTACTTCTCCACCACCTCCTCCGCGCCGGCGACTTTGCATTCTTCCGAGGAAATGCTGTCCACGATGGAAGAAAGGCATCGAAGGCTGCTGGAGGCCGTCGAATCCAGGCTCGCCCCACCTGAGCACAGAAAACAAACCCGCGCACACCCAGCTGGAGCGCGCCAGGAGGACGGCCAAGTTCGTCCCGCGCAGCGCTCAGCTGGGGGCTTTGGAAGCGCTGGAGCCGCGGCCCCGCTCGGCGCCCCCAGGCCCGAAAGGGAGGAGCGCCAGGGCCTCTCCCCGGACAGTCTCTGGGGCAGCCCGAGCCCTTACTTGGGCTTTACCTTCCTTGGCAGTTATCACGAGCTCCCTGGAATGATCCGAAACGCTTGGCCACTGGGCGCTGCAGGTGCGCAGGAAATCCGCACCCTCAAGCTGGAGGGAAAAGCGAAGCAGCCAGAGATTAGGAAAGAGACCTCGGTTCCGGGAGGGGAGGGAGGTGTCCCCCTGCTTTCTCAGGCCCCCGTACGCATTTCCTGCCTATGGCGGGCACCCCGGCTTCACGGGTCACGGGGGGTTCATTAGCGAGGGGGCGGAGAGGAAGGGGGAAGGAGAGGAGAAGGAGCAGCTGGGGGTGAAGGCCCCTGCAAGGCGCTTGCTAAATCGGTGCGTTTCCCTGCCCAGACAGCACCTGGCCTTACATTTTCTTGCTTGGGTCGGTAGCTGTAGGGGTCTGCCACAAACTCCTGCATTTTCTCCTGCTGGTCCAACCGGTGCAGCAGGTCCTGCAGCCGCTCAATGTAGCTGATGGCGCTCCGCAGGATCTCCACCTTGGGCAGCCTTTGGTTGGGGTTGGCCACAGTCCTCCGCTTCAGCGCCTCGAACGCCTCATTGATTTTCTTTAGCCTCCTCCTTTCGCGCAGGGTGGCGGCTTTCCGCCGGTCTGTGGGGGCAGATTTTCTCTTGCATGTCTTGCAAGCCCAGATCAGACACTGGCCTGGGCAGTGCGGAGGCTGCAGGCCCGGGGGCGCCAGGACGTGCTCCTCGCCGCTGCTGTCGCTCCCGGCTTCCGGGGGTATTTGGTCCTGGCAAGGGGATAGGGTCCCATCACTCCCGGGGTACAAAGGAGAGCCCTCGGCCACTTCTAAGGGCTGCAGAGTCACACTCTCCCCATCCAAGTAGAAGAAATAGGAGCCAGTTTCGAAAAGGTCCATCATCATGCTGTGCTGCTCGGCCTCTGGCTTGACCTGCACTTGGTGTTGGGTTCAGAAACTCAGAGGAACCACCCAGATGGCATTGAATTAGTGCGGTGACATAAGTCGCCCTCGCTTTATATATAGTAGCTCCTGAAACTCAATCCAACTTTGAGCTGTCCCATAGCTCAGTCTCCCAATGTGATGAGGGTCAGTCCACTCAGGAACATCTAGTCTGAAAGAAAGTCCAGTCCCGTCACCCCTCGGAACAATGTGACAATCTATGTGCCGAGAAAGACACAATATACATAGAAGACCACAATGTCAACAGAGTACTGGAAGCTTCCATCTTAGGTAGTTTCCATGTTAACCTGCTTAGAGGGCAACTTCAAAACAACCAGGGATTAACACTGCTCCATCCCCCTCCCTGGGGCTCATCTGAATTCTAAGTATAGCCCCATGATGAAAGATAGCAAAGGCAATAGTCTCTGCTCCAAAATAGCCTGGTTAATATGTTCCGAGTGGTTCAGCTCTTTTCTCTCTCCTGCCTGTCAAAAAGATGCCATTCCTCTGATTAAAACCATTCAAAGGTTATGCATGACTTTCAGGCATCAATAGTAGCAGGTAAATCTCTTTCCTCTCTTTTACTAGGCTTGTTAAAATGATGTGGGAGTTGGAGGGGTGGCTAGAGAGTGCTCAGATCCCACATAACTATATGAAATGACTCTCTGGATTCTTCCCCGGAGACCTTCTTGGGCTTCTTTCTGGGGAACTAACCCAGTTCTGAATTCTGCATAGTTCCACAGTGGAGCACAGGAGTTAAGGGGTGGGTTAGAGAATGGGATGTAAGACATGTAATAGCTTCTTCTTAAAAATTAATTCTGATGAAAATGAGACTCCTATACCCTAGCAAACTGATGTTTCAGGAATCGCTGACGGCCCACTTCAAGGTGCCCTGCACGGCCTCCTGTTCTACACCGCAGGTTCACAGGTTTTTTCTCTGCATTCTCATGATCTGTTGATTCCAAAGCGTTGTTTCATGAGAACTATAAGAGAAAGGTAGCGAAACAGGCACAAGCTTGAATACAGAGACAGATTTTCTTTTTCTATCGCCGTTTGCCCGTGGTGTCAATACATGGAATGGTGGCACTTAAGGGAGTCAATCGTGGGGTGAAAAGTGACGTGCACAGGCCCCAGGTTCCCAAAACCTCCCCTCAAGTCCTAACGGAGTCCATTTCCATGCGTCTGATCCTGGTTAAGGACGAGGTCTCAATGTCTTCAAGATAATAGTGGTTGCTTTAGAGAGTTTTGGTGAGGATTCGATCAATGGATGGCATGTGTGTAAAACCCATGCCTTCGGTTAGTGGTATGATGAATGACCATTGAAAGCATAAGCCCATGCTGGGAGTCGTACAATGTTCATGAAGGAAATAAAGCCAAGCTGTTCTCATTTGATTGTGTTTTGCTCGATTGTTGCTTTGTCTTGTGCTCCCTCCCCGGGCTCTTGGAGCTGTCTCCCAGCACTAAGCGGCCATTGAGTCACAGTCCCCCTTGGCTTGGACCTTTGTACTCAGCGTGTGACGAACCAGACAGAAATATAAGATGATTTTATTTATCCCAAGGAGTGGCGATCTTCCCTGTGACCGCATATCTTTTTTATGGATGGAGTGAAATTAATGCAAGAAACAGATTGGCAGGCAATCTAGAAACTAGCTAAATTTTTCACACAAATTCCTTACACCAGAGATAATTGTTCACATTGTTTTCCTATTGGGCCACAGAGTAGGGGTGTTAAGTTTTGACATTTTGGACTGTTTTTCTGTCATCATTATCAGACAGCAGCTTAATTCTTCATTTCATCTGAAAACCACTGTTTCTTTTATGACAACCACTTTTAAGTTCAAGGAATAGTATAAAACACAACAATGAGTGATGGAAAAGGTAATCATACATTTGTGATATTTCCTACTATTTTCACCTACTATGGATCATTCAGCAATAAACACTTTAAGTTGGAGGCACCGACAGTTCAGGGTTCACCCTATTATGTTAACATACACTTGAACATGGCAGATTGGTTGGTGCTTTTATCCAGTACATATTGCCACTCATAAATGTGAAGACATTTTTTACACAGTAAACATACATAATTTGGCTATTGCTAAGTCTATTAAGGCGACTGAAATCCAACAGTTATTGGGTACCTACTAAGTTCTAGAGAGTGTCTTTGCTCTGAAAGATAAATCAATAAACATGATATGTCTCCTCATGGAGTTTAAATAGAGGATATGAGTGAGTGTGACTTAGAGCCAAAAAAATGAGACAAATAGCCCTGTAATTGACATGTGGAAGGTTTAGAATACAGACTGTTTGACCCTAGTTTTTTTTTCATCCATAAAACTGAACTGACAAAAACATATTTACATTAAAGGTTAGTTCTTTAGATGGCATTTTTAAAAGGGGAGTTTTACACACACACACACGTTATGTGGTGCAGTGAGGTACTTGTTAGAGTTCTTCTAGTCTTAATCTTTATAACTCAAACCAAATTATTTTTCCTGAAGGGTCTGGGGAAGAGAAGCTGGGAAAGATAGGATTGATTGGGCTTCAGCTGGGAATGATAATAGAGCTAATGATGACGGTAAAAAATGAGAATTCTAATGTGGTGATTGGCCAGTGTTGTCATCCTGCTGGGTATAAAATGAGACATAGCAGCAGCAGCAGGGAGGATTTCACTACCATCACAAAAGCAGAGCCCAGAGTGGGGTGACTCCTTTGGGCTCCAAGTTCCCTGTGTGCTGAACCTCCTTGATCCAGGAAACAGCAGCAGGAGCACAAGAAACACTCATGGTTGCCAGGGGCCACTGAACAAGTGAAACTGTCTTCGGACAAGAGACTCAGTTGTGAAATGGAGAGCTTTCTGGCACTAAGTGAGAAGGGGTGGTTAGGCTTGGAGGTCTTTGAGCTCGAGCAGAAAGCTTAGGGGCTAAGGCTTACAGAGGAATGGCATGCCCTTTGAACATTTATTAGCTGTGATAAAAAGAGCTTTTAAACATTGCCTGAGCAAGCAGAGGTCAAGGGATTGAGCATCTAACAGGCCGAGGGCTAGAGAGGAGCCTTTCTGTGAGGATGACTAAAAGAGGCCGTCAGAACCTAGGAACTGTGTCTTGAGCATTTCTGATCCTTAATTGTAACCTACTGATTTCCCTAATAAAGGCCATAATCTTGGGTGTTGTCTGTAAGCTCAGTGTGGCCGTTATCATGAATTATAAAACATAGTTGGATGTAGAGTGTCCTGGGAGGGGCTTCTGATGTCAGAATTGGTAAGAAGATCGGTGGGTGGAGGCACATCAGACCCCTGCCTTATAGAAATTAACCATGGGCTCATGTTGAATTTAATTCCCCCTCACTTCTTGTGAAGTCAGAAGATGCCAGAAGATGCTTCCCTGGCCTTTTTACGCAATTCAAAAGAAGATTTTTATTCGCAGAATGTTTAGTTATAGAAGAGAAAAGTGAGCTAAGAAAAATACCGCTTTCATGATCATTTGGAAACTTGAGGAGTGGAAGCATCCCATCTCCCTGCCGTCAAGCCATTTTCCTACGCACCGTGCTTGTGATTTAATACACAGAAGAGAACTACTTGAAATGAGCATTTCCAAGGTTGTAAATCTTTTGGGAGCTCAGGTAGCTTCATCTTTCCTCCATGGAGCAACAGGGGAGTTCAAACTGCTGACCTGCCTTTAGTAGCTCTGTGCTCCCTGCCACTTCCCACTCACCCAGAGTCTACACATCATGCACCTGCCAAAGAATATAAAAGTTCACCCCTTTTTTCCTTCCATTAATGTCATCCCTGAAAATGCGTGCGTTTAAAAATGTAGAGAGAAAACATCTGAAAAAATTAGGGAACGTTTTGGGATCTGGATCTGGAGCAACCTCCTGGAGAGGGGTAGTTTTTCATTATGCAAAATCAACTTTTGTTTATTTAATTGCTGCTTGCTGTTAAATTACAAAGGCATTCCTCAACGTGCTTTAGATCCTGCCAGTAAAATCAATGCTGCTACTCACCTTGGTTTAAGCAGGTTTTTTTGCTTTGTTGCTATTGGGACAATGAGGAGGGCATAGTAGAGATGGCAAAGAATCACCAGCTTGGGAAATCACCATCCCTTCTTAGATTAGGTCAATGGGAAAATACGCACTCATTGCAAATAACTTACAAGGAAACTCTTGGAACCCGAATTGTTGACACAATGTGAGCTGCCTGTAATTGCAATTACATTTCTCAGTAGAACTTGAAACACACATCTTGGCATGAGATTAAAATCAGTTTATGTAAACTGATATCGTTTAAAATTTACATGATTTAACCTAACTTTTTTTAATTATGGAAAAAATGACATATAAGGCAATCATACTAAAATCACTTGTAAATCTTATCAGAGATATAGTTTATTGACAAAAGCTGAACCTTGGTTAGTAAGAGAATTGGAGAGTTATGTAAGTTTATCGACTAGTGTATCATCATATTATTTTTACCTCATTCTTAATTATTTGCAAATGGACTTTATTTCTATCAGCTCAAAATAGGAAGTTGAAGGTGTCTAATTCTTCTCTGTGGAGAGGAGAGGGGAGGAACATGGCATGTGGCTGCATGCGTCAATGGAGAGCTTTCATTCTGAGCCTTTGGGAAAGCAGTGTACCCAGAGGAAAAGTAATGCCACTTGGACCAAGAATTCAAGTCCTCTCCAGTCCTAGCTAGATATTTCAAACCTCAGGTTTATAAGAGATCAAATGGCATATTTATCACAGGCTATATATAAAAGAATATGCTTTTTTAAAAAAATCATGCTATTAGGGGTTCACACAACTCTTATCAAAATCCATACATACATCAATTGTGTAAAACACATTTGTACATTAATTACCCTCATCATTCTCAAAACATTTACTCTCCACTTAAGCCCCTGGCATCAGCTCCTCATTTTTCCCCTCCCTTCCTGCTCCCCCCTCCCTCATGAACCGTTGATAAT